AGTAGAATAGTAGTTTATATAACATAGTTTATATAGAGAAGTATAGTTAAATTAGAAATTATTATACTAGTAGAAAGAATCAGAGTATTTCTATAGTTTAGAAAGAATAAGGTCTGTTATTATAGTATAGATACTATAGGTATTATTATTACTAATTATTTTAATTATAATAATAATCTAGTTAATTATTATAGTTACTATATTTATTTTAGTTATAGTAGTTATTATATTAGTTACTTTGATTATAGCTTTGTGACTAAGAGTATTATTCTTATGCTTAGTATTATAGCTTATTCTATGACTATCTATTATTTTATTATTCTATATTCTGATTTTAGGGGTTCTTATTCTACTATCTCTAATATAGTATTAGGTTTTATCAGTATAGTTAAAATAGTGTCTGGTTCTATTATCTCTAGTAGGGGATAAAACACGGCTGCTGTCTATACAGCTGGTATAGACTTAGTATAATCTAAATCAGATACCTGTTATAATATCTATTACTATTAGTAAATCTATTATTACTATAATCATGATTATAATAGATTTATCCTTAATCATAGAATATAGAATATTCTGAATAAAGATTTAAACTACTATATATAATAAAATAATTATTTACTTCTTTATAAATAATATAGACTAAGTCTTTCTAATTATACTACTACTAATTAAGTTACTTAAGAAATATAGCTATAGTTATTATTTTATATTTAGATTATATCTATTCTTAGATATAGATTAAGTTAATTCTATATATAGATAATTTAATCAAATATATTATTAATCTATATAGTTTAAGTATAATATATTATATCTTAAGTAAATTAGCTGATATATTTACTAGTTTAAATATTAGATAGACTATAGTATATAGTATTTAGCTTTATTATAGTAGTAAATATATTTAGCTTAAAGTACTTCTTAAGCTTCTTAATCTATCTTTATCTAAAAAATCTAGACTATAAGATACTTCTTAGTATCTATAAGACTAGATATATACTAAGTTAATATACTACTATATAAATATACTTAGAGATTACTTTTTATTATAGCTTTATCTTAATATTCTACTATATTCTTAATATAATTAATAAATATATATATATTCTATAAAAATATATTATATTATACTTATTTTATAGCTCTATTACTAGATATATTAGAATAGAAATATCTAATTCTCTCTAGTTTCAGCTTCTTAATATAAGTAGCTTAGATAATATTCTAAGGTAGAATATCTTATAGATACTTATACTCTAGAAAATCTTTATTATTACTATTGAAAGAATTAGTATTAGAAGATCTACTAATAGAAGGATTTCTACTATAAATAAAAGAATTATCTAGGGTAAAGACTGTCTATTATATAGAAAGATAAGACTAACTAGTATTAGAAGTATTATATATCTATTCTAGAATAATAAGATATCCTAGAATCTCTTATACAATATCTTCTATATTATTTAGTTCTATATTCTGTAAGTATATAATATTTAGAAGTTGAATATATTAATTCTATTAATTATATTAATCTTATTGACTACTAGATTCTTATATCTATCTACTTAGACCAGCTTAGATAAATAGATTATAGATAACTTATAGTACTCAACCAGAGCTACTACTAAGTCTAGATAGACTAGAATTACTAGCTTAAGTAGATATTCCTAGTATTTATTATACTACTAGTAATTATCTATATTTTAAAGTAGTTATTTTTAGTTATTTTAATTCTAGAAAGACTCTATATAATAAAACTATTAATAATAGAAAGCTTATAGATAAAAGTAGAAGTAAGCTACTAAATACTGATCTTCTAGTTATATAGTCTAAATATTAAAATAAGATTATTAGTAGAGAGGATTATATATTTAGTTACTAGTACTTCTAGTCTATAGTTTATAGTTTTATCTATATTTTATTATTATTCTCTATGTAGTAATACTCTCTACTAGTTATTTCATAATATTATATTCTTAAAGTCCTGTTAAATATATATAATCTAGATTTAGTATTATTATTCTTATAGTAGATATCTATAGATTTAAATAATACTAATATATAATATAACTTATTTATATCTTTTTTATTATAATCTATATGTATATTCCTAATAATATAAAACTATAGCTTATTTAATAAATGTATAGATTTTTTTTAAATATTTATTAGATTTTCTATAAATAACTATAAGATATAAATCTAAGATTTATAATTATTTAATAATATTTTACTAGAATTTAGTTAACTTTTATTTTTTTTAAGTATTTTCTTTAGTAATTTCTAATATATTCTTATATATTTATTATTATTTTTACTAGAAATCTATTAGTTATACTTACTTTGTTATTTCTTCTAATTATATAGATAGTAGTCTTAGCTATTATAATATTAGTAACTTTTAACTTCTTTAATTTTCTATTTATCTTTATTATCTAATTCTAGTATTAGAAGTAGTTCTTTGTAATTTTTTTCTATATTCTATAGCTTTAGTAGAGAAATATAGAATATATTATAAATTAAATCTATATTTCTTAGATAAATATAAGTAATATACTTAGATTATAATATATTTAAGAATCTAAAAGAGTTCTATAAACTTTAAAATTAGTTTTCTTAATTCTTTAAATTATAGATTTTAAGTTAATAGCTTAACTAGATCTTTTTTTTAAAGTAGAATAATTTTCTATATTTATTATAATATTTCTTTTACTTTTCTATAATTATTTACTATATTTTCTATAATTATTCTTTTACTTTTTAAAATCTAATAAATCTATATTATACTACTAAGATTTTTTTTATTAAGAATCACTCTTAATTTAGATATAAAAGTCTAGATAGAGAATAGTTATATAAAATATAATTAGATAATTATCTAGTAGTTATATTATTTATATTATTATAAATAAACCAAGTATTTTATAGTTTTATAGACTAGTTTATTTTAAATTAATTTAAATAATATTATAGATAATATTCTAATATCTAAACTATTCTTTCTATTTAATTATTAATTTAAGAAGAGTATACTATTAAAAACTTTAAGATAATATAGCTATTATAATATAAATTTGATTAGAATTTACTAGTAAAGATAAATTCTTAATCTAATATAATACTATTAAATAATCTAAAGCTTAGTTTAATTTTGAATAGAAGAGCTTAGTAAGATCTAAAGTAATAATTATAAATAAAATTAATAAGAAAAAAAAATATTTTAGAAAATAGTCTATTATAATTAAAATAATATCAATAATCTTTCTAAATTAGAGAGTTTGAAATAATTCTATAATAAAATCTATTATTGATTTCTTAAAAGAATAGAATAGTATTAATAATAATTTAAATTTATTATATAATTAATATTTCAAAATAGCATTCTCTTAATATATTAGATAAGTTTAAATATACTAGACTATATTATAATATAATCTTTTTTAGTAGAATTTTTTATATAATAATATTTTTATTTAGATTTATTTAAAATATTCTACTAAGAGATTATTATAGTATAAATAAATAAATATCTAATATAAGATTTCTAAAGATAATATATAAAAATAATTCTTAAAATAAATATAATCTATAGAATTTATATTTTAGTTCTTTTAATCTAATTAATTTTATTTAATAGTAGTTTTTTATCTTTATATCTCTAGATCTTTATTCTATAATTATAAGATTATCTTTTAAAGATTAGAATTATATATATTTTAATATAAAACTTTTATAGTATATATATATATTACAGATTAGAGAATAAGTTTTTCTTAAAATAAGTTTTCTTAAATAATCTAGTTAACTATCTCTATATTAGCTTAACTATTAGAATTCTTTAAGCTTAATATTATATAGATATTAAATCTAGAGTATCTCTATATAATTTAAGATTTAAACTAGGATTTTTCTTTAATTAGATCTCTAATTATTAAATATAATATATCTATAAAATATTCTTAAATTAAAATTAAAATTTTTTTTAATAGAGTAGATTTAACTTAAATCTTTATAAATATTCTAAAGAATTTATCTACTAGATTAGACTTTTCTATTCTATATTTAATAATAAAGGTAAAAAATATAAAAAATATAAGTTATTAAATTTATCTTATATTAATTTTAATCCAATATATAAGTAATTATAAGTTAAAATAATTAAATAAAAGTTTAATAATTTAAAAAATATTTCTAAGATATTATTTTTATTATTAAAATAAATAAATAATAGTAAATAGCTCTTAATCTAAAGTACTATAATTTAGTTTTTAGTACTAAAGAACTTATATAATTAAAAAGTAATTGAATAAAATATACTCTTATTGTTAAATTAGAATAGAATTTTATTTATTTCTTCTTCAGAAGTATTAGTTTCTAAATATTAGAATTTTATAGAATTATAATATAGTAAAAGAGATATCTATCAAAAGATAATACTTAAATAATAAAAAAAATCCTTTTATATATATTTAGATAAATTTATTCTAATTTCTATCTATAAACTATTCTATAAAGTAAGAAAATAAGAGATAATATAATATAAGAATAGTCTCCAATAAATTATTAATAGAAGTTATAGAATTTTAAGAAGACTTAGATATTATAATAGCTAAAAGCTATTAGTTATAAAATAATATTATTTATTTATGAAAAATCTATAGAGATTTCTTAATTATTAATAATATATTTTAGAAATTCAAATCAGAACTAATAGAAGAAGTATTCTTAAAATTTAGTATAGAACTAAGCTTCTTAAAGTCTCTTAAGTACTTAATAAATATATTTTATATAAAAATTTCTATTTAATAAAAAGATAAGAATACTATCAAATATATTATTTAAAAGTTATTAAGAAGTCTATAAGATATAATATATATATAATTTTAGAAGATTATTAAAGTATTAGTTTATTTAAATAATATAACTATTCATTTACAATAACTATATCTTATATAGAATACTATCTTTTATTTATTTTTCTTTTTAATATAGATTTACTAGTAGATATCTTTAATATTAATTTTAGAGAAGTATTCACTTTTAGAAATTCTATTTTGAATGTTTAAAATAAAAAATAAAAAATAATAATTCTTAATAAGAATCTTATTAAAATCTCTATAATCTATATAAAAATCTAGACTACTATCTTTCATAGAAATAAATAAATAAGAGTTCTAGTAGAATTCTTAGAGAATTAAATATATTTTAATTTAAGATTCTTATTAATATAATTATATATAATCTTAAGCTTAGTTTTAGATAAAAAATATATTAGAATATCAAGAGATATTTTACTAGTCTTAAGATTAATAATATAGTCTATAAAATTATAAAATAATAATTACTAGAAAGAATCTATAGAAAATATATCTTAGAATTCTTAAAACTTAATTAGTATTAGATTAGAGTTTAAAAATAAATTATAAGATTTATTTTGAAAAAATAAGTTATTCTTAGAGAACTTAATTATAGTATATATTATAGCTTAATTCTAGATTATTTTAGTAAACTAGTTAATAAAAAGAAGTAAGATAGATAATATACTAAACTACTATTAATAATTAGAAGATAATAAGTTAATATATAGATTCTAAAATATAATTATTAATAAGAAGATTATTTTTTTTTAAATTAAGAATCTTAGTTAATCTTTATATAATACTATTCAAAAGTATAGATACTCTCTTATAAATTAATAGTAGTAATAGAAATCTTCTATATACTATACATAGAGATTATAGTCTAGCTAATAACTTTAATTCTAGAAGTTATATATTAGAGATTATATATCTTAGTAAACTAGTAGTTAATAATATCTACTTTAATATAACTATTAAGATTTATAAAGATTTTAAAATTATTTTAAATACGAATAAAAATATATAAATAATATATAATCTCTATTATAAATAATGAAGTTAAAATTATAGAAATTATTTTAACTTCTCTGCTTTTCTCTTTAATTCTAAAAAAATAAATAGACTTTAGTAGATTAAATCTTCTTATCTTTAATAGAATAGTAATTTATAAGATATTAAGTATTTTTATATATAAAATAAGATAATTAGTTACTATTCTTTCTAATAGAGTTCTTATAATTCCAAGTATTATTTTTAGCTAATTAATTATTATAATCTTAAGACTATTTCTATAGTTTATAACTATTAAATTTATTATTATTTTATTTATACTTTTCTTTATTATTTTAGAGTTTATAGTAATAAATAGTAATAATTATTATTCTATTTTATTCTTTAAATAGATAGAAAATATATTTCTAAATATAGTAATTTAGTTCTAGAAGAAGTAGTAAAGTATAATAAAGCTTTTTCTCTTTTAATTTAATAGAGAAAATACTATTCCAAGATATTAAAATAAATATAGAAATTTCTTAGATTCTAATTATATTACTAGTATACTTATTTAAGTTAAGCTATTATATTAGACTAAAGTATTATAGTATTTTAGATTAAAATAAAAGTCTAGTTTTTAAATTAAGATTATAATTTTTTAAAAAGTTATTTTTCTTTTAAAATTTTATTAATAATAAATTAATATTATCTTTATTTATATACTAGATTTATATAACTAATAATAATAATAATCTTATATTTATTTAATAAATACTTTTTAGAGACTCTCTAAAATATATATTCTAAATTAATAATCTATTTCTAATATTTCTAAAGATTAAGATTTAATATAAAATAAGAAATATCAGTAAATTTAATTTTCTTCTTATTCTTATTTAATTTAAAGAATAATTAGTAGTATCTTAATAAGATTTTACTAGAAAAATAATTTTTTTAAAGATAAGTTATTCTTTAATATAGATTATTAATCTATTTTTTTAATTAATATATATAGTTCTTAAGTTATTAAATTTCTTTATTAGTAGAAATTATATTTAATAATAATTTTATATTAATTTAGTTATTAATTATCTCTAGTTCTTTATTATCTTAATATAGTAGTATTTTTCTTAGATAATTAGAAAGAAAAAATTAGAATATAATAGAATCTACTTATTACAATAGAAAATCTATTAATTAGATAAGAAATCAACTACTAAATACTATAGATTTATTTAGTAATAATAAAGATAGTCTATATCTATAAGATAAACTAATTCTTAGAGAATTAGTAGTCTTCTACAGAGAAATTAGTATCTTATAGATATTAGAAAGATATAGATTTACTATTAATGACCTCACAACCAGTACATAAGGGATATACGGCCAAACCACAGGTGATTCGCCACAGCTACAGGGATTACCCATGACAATCAGTAGCTTGTTTATTTTCTTATTTATTATATCTTTAAATTTTTTAATTCTTATTATCTTTGACTTTAATCTTGCTTTGACTTCACTTCCACACTCAGTTTGTATAGAAAAGTGAAAATTAAATAAAAGCCTAATAAATTCTATTTAAAAAGAACTGGAACTTTAACAAGGACTTTTCTTATTATTTTAATATAGTAGAAGTACTATAATTTATATCTATAAGAATAAAGAAGTACTATAATACTTAATATAAGCTTCTATCTTTTAATATTAGTAATAAGATATATCTATATCTATAATAAATTAAACTATATTCTCTATCTATATTAAGAATACTAAGAAGCAGCTTATACTCTAATTTATTAGTTCTTTTAAGATTCTTAAAGTAGTTGAATATTATACTTATTAATTAAAGCTACTATTCTTCTAAAGTATCTAGTATCTATTATCTAGCTAAAGTATACTACTAATACTAATCTATTTAGTTATATTCTTTATAAACTATTCTATATAGAAGATAAAAGATTTCCTAGTTAAACTAACTACTATAAAGTTAAAGTGATTATTAATAAGTATCTTATTTCTAAAAATTAGTATTAAAAGCCTATTCTAGAGTAACTAATTTATTAGTCTGGGTATAGATTTAAAGATAATTAATAGATACGCGCGTTGGATATTACTACTAATAAAAAGATTAATAAATACAAAAGATACTTGTCATGGTATTAAAGACGACGATTTATTAGTAAGTTGATTGATGACGGAAGACGTCAGGATCGAGGAAGACAAAGTTCTGCTGCTAAGGCGGCTAGGAAGGCGGCCAGCCAAACGGGCGGCAGAATATCGCGGCAGCAATATTCACCACAATACTAGTATTAAATATATACTATATTTTAGATAGCTTTTATACTTCCTATCTCTGTTTATATATAATAAGAATATTATTATAAAAAAGACCAGTATATATTATAGTAGAAGACGAGAAGACGATTCTACCTTATTATTCTGCCTTGGGCGGATCTTAGCTAGTTTTCGCCCGTCCCAGGAATCTTCCTAGGAACAACTCATCATAATAACATTATAAGCCACATCTTCCTACCATGACTTTGACAATATCTTACAACTATATCTTAAGATAGAAATACTACTAGGTCTAAGAGATAGAAATTAACTAAATAGTCTAAAAATAAAGATTATACTTAATAAACTATCTAGGATAATAGATTTTATATAAGATACTTCTTAGATATCTTAGAGTTAAGTAGAGTATAGATATAAGAGAGAGTTAATATTAATAAATAAGTTATTAATCTTAACTATATTTAATTAAATAGGACTTTAGATTTAAGTAAGTTAATAGAAGACTTCTATAAATAAGAATCTTATATCTTAGATAAGAAATAGTTTAGAGAATAGAAGATATTTAGTATATTTAAAAATATATTAAATATCTTTATCAAGAACTAATAAATCAATATTCTAAGATAGAGAATATAGATAGTTCTTAATAGAGATAGAGATTAGTATAAGATACAAGAGATAATAAGCTTATAGTAATATATTATTATTAAACTAGTATATATATAGATTAATTAATTTTATTAGAAACTATATGATCTAGTAGACTAGTTCTATTATAGATATTAATAATTAAATATCTAGATATTAGAATAACTGATCTGGATTAATTATAGATAAGATAATAGTCTAGATATAATAATAGAAGAACAAGACACAGAATATAGAAATAAGTAGAAAGAAAAATATTATAGAATAAATAATTAGTTAGAAATAATAATTAATATAGATAGTTGGTAGTAACATGCGGAAGTGAATTCAAAAAGATAAATAGAGAAGGCGGAAGATAGGCTACCAGTAGAATCATAGTACAACTAACTGAGGAGGGGTGTATCAACCAGAGGTATCTGTAGTTAATAGGTAAGAATGAAAGAACGAACAAACAAAAGATAGGAGTAATAAAGAGCAATTAGGAGTTACTAAGTAGAACCACAGAAACATATACAGTGTCTGGAACCCGGGATATGCTACTATATATCAAAGTTGTTGGTAGGAAGACGTTCCTTATATGATCATTATAATGAAGTTCTTGATTCTCTCAGGATCCCGAGACGGGACGAACTAACTAAGATCCGCCCAAGGCGGAACGACAGAGCAGAATCCTCAACACCGCCAGCAACCATTACAATAGACAACTAATTCTACAGTAGTGAAAGATACTAGATTATTATAAAGTAAGACATACTACTATACATTATAGTCATAAATGAAAGACTCTTGATGATTTATTCTAATGATTATTGTCCTTATTCTGATAATGATGATGGTGATCCTGAGACGTACGGAAGACGGAAGTCGACCCCGTCGAAAGGATGCCCGAAGGCGGAGCCTAACGGCAGAATGCCGGCGAGGTCGAAACCACCGCACCTTTTTAGCAACGAGGAAAGGCACCACAACTGGGAATTCCCAGTTTGCTGACAATCTCTGTTATGTCAGCGTGCAAGGACCTGATGAAGTTCCATATGTAGAGTGGATTAAACCTAGAAAGGGCGATGCCATAATCACTTCTAGTAAATATTAACTAGGGCGGTGGCTCTTAGTCACTTCCGTAACAGACGATGCCATAGCATAGCACTTAGATTGAACCTACATCTTCGTAGAAAAGTACCGTTCGGGAGGTTTGCTTAAACTCACAGACATGTTACGAGAAGGTCAAGGACATGAGTAATCCCCACAGCTGATGCTGGGCATAAATAAGAATGTTGGAGCATTATTGTCCTACCAGCTCAGCTCTATTTTCCGAAGGCCTTTCTACGCCCAACTGGCCCAAACCTCTGCGTGTGGCTGAACATCTTGCATCTTGTGCGGGTTGTGATCGCAGCTCAGCCTTTGCAGTTGCGCTGATAATATAGGAGAGTGAAAGCTCGAGGATGGTTGCCTATTGCGCCTAGCAAGATTTTCGACCAATATGGAATATCAATAAGAGAGAACGATAGCTTGGATATAGCGGTTCGACCGAACTGCATCCTGAGACAATATGGCAGGTAAGGGGGGTTATGCCACATTTGCAATAATTTTATGATCGTACTTTTCGAGATTCCGTTACATATGGTTTGCATTAATGTGAGGGTCATTCTCAAATGCGTTTTGAGGCTCTTGTGACTGCGATCTTTGTTGCGAAAGTGTAGAGATAGTGCTGTGGAGCATAGAAAGAGACTTCTTGCTCAATATCCCAGGGCAAGTCCAAAGTAATAAGATTTGCTTCGGGTCATTACGGAAGTTTGAGAAGAAGATTAAAGAAGATTGTATACGGCTTCAGTCCTTGGTGGAAACCAAGTGCTGATGATGAGCGTGGCCATCCAATTTTGGACACAAGCTTTGCCGGTTCGAAATGGCTCTATACCGCACTACCTGACCTTGTCATATAGCCAAGTTTTGAATGAGATAAGTTTCCATTACAAGAAGGGTCCTGAAAAGAAACCACTGTGAGTTCCCAGATGCCACTAAGGGTGTTGACGAAAGTACTTACATTGTTATGAGGAACAGTTTTCAAATATGACATCAGGCTGTGTCATGTCATTCTTCTTTTGATCTAGAATTAGGACAGCAAAGTAGTAAGTCAAGAATGTGAGAGCCTACAATCAACCCATCCGATCAGACAAGGGCACCCAAACCATACTCTCGGGATCATGATCAAGCATTGGGGCTAGTTATCTCTTCCCGGTATCGTTAGGCGAAGTGACATCGGAGTATTTTATCGGCACTCGAGGACACAGACGGGAAGTCCGCCGGAAAACTCGCCTCGAATGTATCATTTGTTGGTTTGTCTTTCTGCAATGGATCGCTGATTTTAAGGGTATATTTCCTTTCACTTGGTCATTTGTGGAGCCTTTGGACAGTTCTCTTTTCTCTCAAAAGTCAATGCGTCAAAATGGTTGAATTAAGAAAGCGGAAAGCGCCAGCGCAACCTCTCAAGACGGAACAGAAGAGCAAGCGCGTCCAGAAATCTAGCCCAGCGTCGAGGAGAGTGCCCAAGATTGTTAATGCAGATAGCTCTCGTGCCGGCGCATCTGACGGTTTTCACCTTGAAATTCCGAAACCTGGAGAGAAGCTCGACCTGAATCAATTTGGTGGTGAATTTGAGAGTCATGATGGGACGAAGGTCAGACTGAAGGATCTTGTCGACAGTAGCAAGGCTGGTGTCGTGTTATTCACATATCCCAGAGCTTCTACTCCTGGATGTAGGTTCAACCGAGAACCAAGCTTCTTCTGTCTCAGCCCCTTTCCCTCCTTTCCCTCTTTGTGCAATGCCCTGTGCTGTACCTGTTACCTATATTCTTCCGGCTCGTTCTTCTCCATGCACACCAATGACACGACAGAGTTGACTCACCCAATTATAGGTACAAGGCAAGCCTGTCTCTTTCGCGACAGTTATGAGTCTCTGACTGCAACTGGGTTGTCAATTTACGGTCTTTCAGCAGATTCTCCGAAAGCAAACACCACTTTCAAGGTAAAACAGAAGTTACCTTATACACTTTTGTGCAATCCTTCCTATACATTGATAGAAGCTCTTGGATTTAAAAAAATGCCCAAAGGGACAAAAAGGGGAGTTTTCGCTATAAACAAGCAAGGAAAGGTTCTCCTACTTCAAACCGGTGGTCCCGATGCAACATATGAGGCTGCGCAACAGATTGTGGCTACCTCTGGGAAAGCGGACCAGGAAAATGCTTAGAGGTGCGAATGAAGCCGAGTCCCTGATGGTACACAAGAAAAATGGCCGTTGGTTTGATACAGGATTATAGTAAGTGCCAGGCCAGCACTTGATTTGGATTGTTCCTAGTGCTCCCAGGGTCTGTTAGGATATCCCGGGTAGATGTGATTGTATTGCTCCTAGATGGATAGATCATTGGCCTTTTGACCACTACCTTTCCGAATCCCGTAGTGTACTAGGCATACTGGGAGTCGGGAATTTACATCTGATATCAGGCCTGATCAATACACATGTCGACTAATTGGTGCCAGCTGCTTAGAGCCATGATGCTATTTGTCTCTCCTCTATATCCCTGCACGTCGATTTCTACGACTGAACCAGAAAGCCTTATGATGAGTACGAAGAGGTTTATCTGATGCCTTTGCAGGACGTTCTGTGGATGAGAGGAGCATAATTACAATCTTTCCTAGATCGCCCATCCAGGCCTTCTCTAAGGTTGTTCCAGGGCTTACGACTAGGTTGTCAGTCATGCTTACGCTTAGATCGCCGCTGTCCATCCGGTAAGCTCGGATTTACCGTTGTTCCGCGCGCAGCGACTCGGCTGCCCGGAGGGAAGGCCTTCACTGAAACTTGCTGCCGTCATGCCGTGAGCCAGCAATTCCAGGGAACAATTTTGAGTTAGAAGAGGCCTAGAAGGTGAGATCTAATATAACAGTCGCGACACTAATGTTCTACTGTGGACATTTGTGCACAATCACAAACTCGTATACTCATAAATCAACAGGAGCCATAATGACGCGTGAGATAGTTAGAGCTGCCAAGTCGGCATCAAACGTGATTGCTGTTCACAAGGTCAGTAGTCAATCAATGGCGATATAGTCCTGCAGGTTTGACTTGTTCTCAGAAATATACTGTGCAATCGACTGGTGTATGGGAGCGCATCCGCCGCCTTTTGTCCATCGATCCTAATCGCTCCACTGGCGTTCCATTGAACTCTCAATTTCGTCTGCCGGCTCCAGGATCTCTTCCACCTCTGTCCTATGATGACCCAGTAACAGTTCCAGCGGGCGACATTGCCGATAATCCCTACTGGAAACGTGACGCTCGGAGAAGTTACCCCAGACTTAGCAAGGTCAATCAAGCCGACGTCGTCGGTCTTCTCAGTGTAGGCAGTCAAGCAGCGCCTAAGGAGGTGCTGAAACTCGGTGAAGCGGGTGCAAAGCAGCTTGTTTCTGTCAAACAACAGGGGGACGAGCGCGGACTTGCTGGGCTTTTTGAGAAAAACAAGATGGAGGCTAGAGGTGTGTTGGATGCCAATGGATTGCCGCCCTTGCCTTGCAGCTTGAATTCTTCGGCTTCGAAATACCGGCTGGATCACGACCATGGGTATCCTGAAGTGTAAGTTTCCATCTAATCTGTGTTGCCTACAGTCACTGAAGCTCTACAAGGTACCCCTGCCGCACTTTTGTCTGATATAGAGAGGGATAGACCTACTGCTGTTCATCAGATTCTGGTTCCATTCAGGGCCTCGCTTATTCGCGCCGCTTTCATGTGTTTGTAATTCGTACAGGATGTTGAATATACAACTTAGCTCCATGTGACGGTCCAATTCATGTGTTCACTCATATGTTTCGCATTATTGGTAGTATTGAACAGGAAGTGAGCCCGAGGCTCGCGGATAGCTTTGCCTTCGGACTATGTCTACTTTTCTCAACAACTCAATTTATGCTCAACCCAGAAGGAGACAAGTCTATATTGTTCGTAAGTCACAATTACGTCGGGCAAATAATGATGGATACAAATCTGAAGCAAGGACCACTGACAGTAATTCCACTCCCAGTGAAAAAATTACTCCAGATGCCCTTTAATGATATCAGAAAGCACAGGCGGCAGTTATGACACTTAAGTGAAACAGCCTCATTACATTGGTTGCCTCAACTTTTAAGAATTAATTAGTATCATCTTCACTTTGTACATTCACTTTCGTAAATCTGTATGTTTATTACTTCGGTGTTCATATTAGCATTTGTAGGAACCAATGATTTTCGGGGATGGAACAATATCGTATTTTGTCCGACTACATGTAACTAATAAATGACTAGCTAGCTGCGAAACCGAGCCTCAATCATTGTAATCCCTTAGGCGAAAGGATTGGTGCGCGTGCCCCACCAAGTAAGGAATAGACTGAGACCTACTGTCTCGAAAATCCTACCAACGGCGCCTACAGCGACTGTGTCAAGCGGCCGCTTCTCTGTGAAGATCTGGCTGATAAACTGAAGTAATTTGTGATCAGTCAGACTGGATCATAGAGTTGAGGGACATTGATTTACTTACACTTGGAGCTGCACTGGCCATAAAGACCAAGCTTCCAAGATAAGCCGCGCCCTTGTAGCTTAAGGTCCCGGTTGCGTTGATTAACGCCGCCACACCATAGGTCTGTACAGCACTACCAACCAGGGAGCTACCCCAAGCTGCTGCTGCACCGGCAGCCTCCTTGGATTTGAAGAATTCTTCCTTCGAGTTGGCGGCTTGGGCACGATGATAGGTATCACCAAAAACGGGGGCGAGGATACCAAGAGATGCTGTGTGTGTGAAGATAGCGCCCAGTGCAATTGCAGAAGGCTTCACAGAGGGCAAATCTGATAAATTCAAGTCAGTCCAGTTCAACAAGTGGGAATGAGAATTCCGCCACGGTCGGAGCTCTTTGTGGGCTGGTGGGAGGGGAGAGGATTTCAGGAGAAATACTACACACAATTGAGAGTCGTCATTGCGATAGGTCGGATGACTTTCAGGATGTCTAGGAAAAATCAAGTATCAGAGGTATGGATTGTGATGAGTAGTACATAAAATCTACTCTGAAAGGGAGATGAGTGCGCTTTATGACTCTCCAATTTCCTGAGGGTCACATGCTGTTGCCGTCATTTTGGTGGAAGGCCAGTGACAAGATGAGCAGTGACGTCGTCATGAGCAAAAGACATGGACATTCAAGAGAGGGATGATCTGCACAGTAATTGAGCCTGGTGATGATAGGTGAGTATGGGATCAGTCTAATTACTGAGTACCTAGGTTGTGAACTAGATTAGCCAAGGTAGGTGGGTAGCTACAACCACTTTTCATTTGTGACATCATATGGCACTAATTAATTTTAGATGATTTGAACAATACTGTGTGGTACACTGTAAGTAAAGCTCTAATCTCAATTTATTAGTAAATGCTATGACTATGTACAAAACAGTGACAATGATGTATTACATTGAAATGGCTGCAGCTGAAGTCTTAACAATCAGTCAAAAAGAGCACATGTGTAAGTAAAGGGACATGACAAAGGAGAAGGCCAGAAATGTAAATCCTTCTGCTCTTTGGTACTGACCACTGTACTCAGCCAGTACATGATTTACTGTGTAACGTAATCGGTAAGCAAGTGGGCACCACAAGCAAGTGGGCACCCACGCCCATCTGAACAGCCTTCCATGAAAAGATGAATCTTATATACACTATATAATAATAAAATAACATGTTTTTTTAGTATTTTAATATATAGGACATCTTATTCTTATATATCCAATTATATTACACTTACTGCAGCAAGGTAGTATCTAGTAGTAAGATTATTCCTTACTAGTTGTAGTTGATACGTTGGGCCCGAAGCCCTCTTTTAGACGCCGAGGTGTTAAGATATTATAACTATATAAAGTTGTTCTTCTATTATTCTCTTCTACTACACGAGATCTTAAATATAGAATATAGAATAGTAGAATAAGAAAGAAAGGATTATTATAAGATAGAAAAAGAAAGAATATTAGTCTAGTTAAGAATCTATATCTAATAAGTACTCTTTTTATTATTTTATAATATTCTTATTATAATTTACTTTAGAAGTTTATTAGAATAATATAAGTTATTATTATTATTATTATTATTATTATTATTATTATTATTATTATTATTATTATTATTATCTTTAGTAAAGATATACTTATAATAAATATCTTTAATAAAGTTATTCTTAGAAATAAGATAAAAACTAATAGTATTTCTATTATTATCTAGTATAATTATCTTCTTATACTACTAGAGAAGTAAAATAATTATATACTTTTTTAGAAATATATCTATATTCTTCTACTATAAGAGTATCTTTAAGAAAATTAATAAGAAGTATAAACTCTATAAGTATAGCTTAGTAGCTTAAAGTAATCTTATTTATCTAATTAAATATAATAATAGCTATTATAGAACTTAGAGTAAGAGTATAATAATTCTCTATAGAAATAATATTCTATTTGTAGTGATTTCGGCTATGTCGAATTCTGCCGGTTGTATCCGCCTTCGGGCATTATTTCGACAGAGTTGTCTTCCATCTTCTATCCTTCGTCTTTAACAATATTACTAATATTATTATAAGAAAGATTGCCTCATCACAAATTCAGCTGATCCATAATATATAGTAGCATGTCCTGCCTTATAACAATCCAGTGTCTTCTAATACTATAGAATTAGTTGTTTATAATATCTTTTCTAGATATTTGTTTGTTATTTTATTACTACTAGGAAATCCACTAATCTCTATCTTCTTACTATTCTACATGTCTTAAGATCCCTAATTATATTAATTATATTCTGTCTTCTTTCCCCATCTTCCTTATTTATCTTTATAGATCACTAGGTTCTACCAAGCCCTTGCTCTATCTTATAATTTACTTATCCTAATCTATATATAAGTTGTTCTTACTAAATTTATATCTTATATCTTCTACTAATCTTTACTATTCTATATTATCTAATCTCTGTATCTTAATATTATCAACTATTAATTCTCTAACTCACCTGTTATTATCTTATACTGTAATTTGTTTAGACCTGTTCCTAGTAAGGGTCTTACTGTTATTATCTTTAGTATCTTCTATTATTTATATAGACTATATCCTGAATATTATCTAAATTAGTATATTAAATTGTTAACTTCTATAAAAAATCCTTAGACTATAATTATTAAGACTATATAGACTGTGATATTCTTACTTATATATTTTATATTACTTTAGTTATATCTATTCTAGCTTTATCTAAATATTTTATCTATTCTTTTTTCTGGGATCTAGATAAGTCTATTTTATATAAAGCTCTTTTATTATTTATTAAGTAAACTAAATATCTATTATCTATTAGCTTTTATATTTAGTAGCAGATAGAATTATTATTACTTCTAGATAATTTTATTAAATTAATATATTTCTTAGAATATGTTTATTCTAGATTCTCTTCTATTTTATTGTCTAGTGCTGTTATCCCTGCAGATATACTAAGACTTATTAATAATTCAGATATAGATATATTAGTTCTAAAACTAATTAAATTGACTACTCTAATAGCCCCTACACTAAGTTCTATTATAGATAAGTAAGCTGAGGATTCTATTATACCTAAATATCTATATCTAAATATTACTATGTCAGAGTCTTCCGCCCCTTGGACTATAAGATGTTTCTAGGGCACAAATATATCTTATATACTATTTTCTATATTATATAGTTCTTCTTCTTTTTCTTTAAATAGATTTATATATACTATATTACTATCTAGTATTTTTCCTGATATTCATCAACTTCCAGAGTTGGTATATAATAATATCAAATATCCTGATTACTTATTCTATAATATTAACTATTCTAATTAACCTAATCTACTTAACTTTCCTATATCAGCTTTATTCCTTATTTATATATTCACTGGAGTCGAAATACCTGTCCTATCTACCAATACTAAGACAATAGTTAACCCTATTCTACTATAATTACCGAGGCAGCAAAAGATATATATAGTTACTAATAAAATATCTAGCAACTCTGGTACTAGAGTTAGACCTAATGGCTTATCTAATCCTCCTCTGCCAGATCTATTAGTAAGAATACAGCAGATACTAGAAAGAATAGATAATTAAATAAGAATATTTAAAACTTATCTTAACTAAGCTAATTAAGTAAACTAAGTAGCTTAAATAAATAGTTATTAAAATACTCCTATCTAATCTATAGTCGACTGAAACAAAAGAATCTCCTATATTAAAGATATAAAGCCTAAGAATATTAGTTTCTTCTATTCTGATATAGAGAGTAATAAAAGTATAAAATAGATAAGATATAATATATTCTATAAGAATATAAATATCTTCCTAGATTATATGTATGATATAGTTAAATACTGAGATAAAGTAGTAGTCAAATCTAACTTATAGACTTATCTTTATAGGACTATACTAAATTAGTTTATATCTAGTCTTACTAAGCTAGAGAAGAGTAAAATTACTAATATATCTCTTAAAGTAGAATAAATAAAAGCTTTAAGAGAGTATTTTTATTCTAATATATCTACAGCTCTGATTTATTTTAATTAAATAAAATATAGTTTTACTAATATTAATACTAAGCTGATTAGTTAATTTATATAAGATATAATTCGCCTAGCTTATGCTGTAAGAATAGATAATTTCTATAACCAACTTCTATATCTATAGAACCAGATTGATCCCCATCTACAGGTTATACTGACCAAACTGACTGAGTAAACCACTATTAGTATATTCCTGTATATACTAGATTATCAGCAGTAAGAATAGAAAGACCTGGTAAGAGCAACTACTTGATATAACAGTTACCCCTATTAAGATAGTAATACTCCCCTGTATAATACTCAAGAACCCTATAACTAAGGATTCTATAATCCCCAAGGATATAATCCCCAAGGATATAATCCCCAAGGATATAATCCCCAAGGATATAATCCCCAAGGATATAATCCCCAAGGATATAATCCCCAAGAATATAATAATAGATCCTTTAAAAGACATAATATCTACCAGCCAGACTACTGGAATAATTACTAGAATAATTATTATCTTAACTAAAGCAATACTAATAACTATTAAAGACATCTGTACCAAAACCACCCATGGCAGATAAGATAATAAAGCTGTGACTGACACCCATACAATCAAGATAGCCAGTAGCAGTACAGCTTACAGTAAGGCTGATAGGGTCCGCAGGGCTAATAAATATATAATAATAATATAAATTATTAACCTTAGAATTATTAAAACCAGAATTAAAATATATATTATTCTAGAAATTAAGATAACCAAGGATAAAATATTCATAACCATAATTATACTAATCAAAGCAATAATTATTATACTAGATAGTATAGTACTTATACAGCCATAACTAACCTAAGAGTATTAGAAGAACTAAATCAAGACCAAAATAACTAGTATAGATACTATAGAGATGAATTTTAGGAGTAATATATAGATCCCTATAACCGCCCCTATTATAAGTATAATATCTATAACTAATATAATAATTACCCCTATAATAATAGCTATAAAAATAAAGAGTACAATACCTATATTACTAAGAATATTAAATTTAAAGATACTAATAGTCTTTCTGTGTTATTGTCTTTTCCTATTCCTTATTATAACTATAATATATCTTTTAAATTAAATAATAAACTCTATAAATATATTAATACCTGTAATACATTCCTAATACTAATTAAACCAGTCAAGCTATATACTAATCTAAGCAAAGACAATAGAATTATTGTATTTAATTACTATAGTAAGAAGATTTCTGGTAATAAGAATAGTTCTATCTTATATTTATCTAAATTAGCTATAATTAATATAGGATTAAATATCATAAGTATATATACTACTATCTATATAGATACTAGATACTCTAGTAGTATTAATAATACTAACTTACTTTACTCTGTCCCTGGTATTAAAATACAAGAAGTTGAAGAAGTACTTAATATTAAAGATATTAGTTCTATCTATAAGTTAAAGGAATATATTATCTTGGATATCTACATCCTGCATAGTTAAGACCCAGAGTATTTATATAGTCTAATATTTATATACTTTTGTACTTGTGTCTTTCTTATGCCTGACTTATATATAAATATATTAATTAAAACTGATATAATATACTATAAGGGTATTATTATTAACTATAAGAGATAGACTAGTACTATATAGTCTTATAGAGTATTTATCTTTCTACTATAAACTATTATTATTCCTAATTATCTAATAAATACCCCTATATATACTACTAGATAGATTATTATACCTCTCTATTTATATATTAAACTCCCTATCAAGCATATTACTAACCTTTCTAATATAGATTATATATTTTATTCTAAAAATAATACTAGTCTATCAATATATAGTTATCTAGTAGATATAAATTTCTCTTTTATTAAAGTAGTTAATAAGTCTTTATCTATTATAATAATTAATTACTGTACTAAGATAGGTATACTTAGTAATAATAAGTATACTACTATATATAAGATATAGAAAGCTATTATTAAACTAGGATATTTAAATACTTATTTTAACTGACTTTTACTTCCGCGCACCTTATATAGTAATAATTATTATTTATATCTATCTCCTTACAATTCTGATTACTATTATTAGGTTGCTGTGTCTGTAGAAGCTGCGGAAGCTCTATCTATAAGTATTAGATTATCTCTATCTTATAGTTACTGACTTTATAAGTATACTATTTTTAGAAGTAAAATATAACCTCTATTTTTTATATCTTTAGACCAGCTATAACCTCAAATTACTATATCTTTAGACTAGCTGTCTTAAATTAGAAGTACTAAATATCTACTAGAAACTAGTCCTGGATCTCTAACTAATTAAGTATCTCTATTAAAGATTAAATATAATAAGAGTAATATTATTATACTTCTAAATAGTATTATTATCTACAAGACTAGATATAAGGAAGTACTGAGTAGATTAGTTATATTCTATAATATCTAGACTTCCCTAGATAGTTCTAATATTAGTACAGTTGATATTCCTGAGGATGAATAGATAAGAATCCCTATAAAAAAGAGATAGTAAGATAAAGCAGCTGCATAGAAACTCTATATCTATTAACTTTCTGAGTATAACTATATTATAATAAACACTATATTTAATCTACTTTATAAAGTAGGTAAGATATTATTTATTAAAAACTATATACCTACTGCATATCCTGTCTTTATTATTTAGAAATACTTAAATAATAAAGCTAAAGATTACTCTATTATTAATCTTTGGGCTACTAACTATAAAACTAAACTGGATTTATATCCAGTTCTAATACAAGAAGATATACTCTATATAATTTAAGAATACTAATATATTACTATTATTAATATTACTTACTTCTTCTATTAATAGCCAGTTTTTCTAGGTTACTAAAAGTATTTAGTAGTTATAATATATAGAGGTTAAGAGATATTCTATATTATCTTAATAGAATTTATTAATAGTATTCCTTTTATCTAAAGATAGATGAATTTATACCTCAAGGAGTTTTGTACTTTTATCTATATATATATTAATAATATTATTATTACCAGTTATATATTTAAGGAATATATAGAATATCTATCTTTTATTTTCTAATCCCTACAAGACCTAAAGATTAAACTTAAGCTAAGAAAGGTATATATTAGATTTTCCTTAGTTATACTCCTCAGACAGCGAGTTAATACTCTTAATTTATTAATTCCTAAAGATAAAGTCACTGCTATTAAGGAATTAATCTTCTTAATAAACCTTACCTAATTTAAGTACTATTTTAGAATAATTAATTAGCTAAGATACTATATTAGTTAATATATAAGTAAGATATAATTCCTATAAGATTATAAGACTTAATTACTTTGTGTCTAGTTACTACTAAAGATATTCTTATTTATATATATATCTAAATAGATAGACTAATCTTATTAAGACTATATAAATAAAACTCTAATCCTTAATTCTACTAAAGATAAACTTCAAGTATTTATATATTATAGAATAATTTTAGTAATATCTATAAGCTAGCTTATTTTATGCCTACTAAGTAAGTATATCTTAATCTAGATATATATAGAGATAGGTATAGTATAATATTCTATTATATTAAGAATAGCTATACTTATAAAGATCTTACTAAGCCATCTTCTAGAATATATATTTATTCTATCCTATTTCTAAGTTGTGTTTTAATCCCAGCCAAGAAGAACTACTAATCTACTAAGTTGGAAGTATTCTGCTTTATTTAGATACTCTAAAAGCTTAGATATATAATCTAAATCACTAAGCTATTAACTATCATCTATACTAATTATTCTAGTATAATCGCCCTTTTAAACTAGATAATATTTAATATAGTTATAGTAGAATATCTTAATCTCTATCTAGTATATATAAGCTAGTATATTTAATAATTCTGTCTTAAGATATATTATTATTCTAATATAATAAATATAGTTACAGATACTTTATTATATCTTTCTAGAAAAGATATTCAGTATACTTCTCTATCTAGTCATAATCTTAAAGATATTCTAATTAATATATTCTTCTCTAGTCATAAGTCATACTCTGTATATACTATTCAAGTTAATAAGTAATTCAAAAGCTAGATATATTAAGACTATAAGACAGATACTAGAGTATCTAAGATTATTAATATTCTACTATCTAACCTAAATACTAATCTTCTATATTTTATAGAAGATAGGTTACTGTATATAACTAAATATATTACTATTAAGGATAATAATAGTAAAATATCTAGATATAATAAACCCTAGATCTATCTTCTGTATTTTCTAGTTTCTGAAATTTTCTATATTATTTATAACAAATACTATTATTAAGGCTTTCAGAAATATATAGAAGAACTTTATAGACTTATTATATATAAAGCTACTAAACTCCTCTATAACTATATTTATCAGTGTCTATAATATAATAAGAACTATATATAGAAGTATAAACTATATAGTACCTTATAATTAATTATCTCTATATCTAAATCTTTCTATACTATAATAATAGACTTTATTACTACTCTTTCTACTAAGAATAGTAATAACTAAATACTTATAATAGTCAATAAGTTTACTAAAAGAGTAGAAATAATTCTAGAATATTTAAAGATAAAAGTAAGTAATTAGAAAGTATCTTTTATATAATATATTTAAAATTATAATTACAGAGTTCCTATTATTATTATTTCTAACTAAGATACTTGATTTATATTATTCTTCTAGAAAGAAATATTCTTATGTCTTAGTATTTATTGATTTTATTCTACTATAGTATATCTATAAATAGATAATTAATCAGAGTATATAATCCAGATTATCGAAATAATAATAAGATACGCGACTACCTAGCAGAAGTCCTGACTTAAAGCTATTCCCTCTATTATATCTACTATTAATAGGTCTCACAGTACTGCTACTAATAAAATATTTTACTATCTTATATTTAGTATAAATCTTCGTTAGCTCTGGTACTTAATTAAAGATATTCTAAACTATATTTACTAGTCTACTACTAAACTATCTATCTTACCTTATCCAAGAGTTGAAGTCGTTATTCCTATAAAAGACAGGTATAAGGAAGATACTTAGACTAAAAGATACCCTGACCACAAGACAGCTGAATATATCAATACCTATACTGGTCAAGACTTTAGTTTATAATTTAATACTAAAGAAGCCCTTAAGTTCACAGCTATAAGAATAAAAAAGATATATAATACAAAGTACCAACCTATATTATTTATACCTAGTAACTATATATATCTACATCTACATCAAGGATATACTATTCTAGTAGTCAAAGATATCAAGATTAAGTTAACCTAGTATTATATTAGACTATTTAAAATTCTTAAAGTAGTTAGAAAGCATATATATCAACTGGAGCTACTAGATATATAGAAGATTTATCCTATAATCTCAGTTTCACAACTTAAATCTACTTTTATTCTATATAAAGATTCTTATAATCAACATTCTTCTAACCCACCTCATATCATAGATAATCGCTTCCCAGACTAGTCAGACCAATAGGAAGTTGCTATAATTC